ACATAATCCTATCTTAGTTTTTCCAAAGCTTATAGACAAAAAGAAAATGTTGCTACAAAATTCTATATAGTATCGTTTTGTGATGTGTTGCTAATTTCTTTTTCTGCTGCAGACTCTGGAGAATGTGTCAAAATGGGTGCATGATAGGAAGGATGCATCAGAGGAACTCAATGAGAAGATTAAATTCCTAAGTGGATTTGTTGTTGCATTTAGAGATCAAATTCACACAGACATTCAACTCCACCCTGGTGATAATGGGCCTCCAATACCTGCACATAGAGCCTTATTGGTCTCTCTCTCTCTCTCTCTCTCTCTCTCTTACTTAATTATATATGCATGAGGGAGGAACCATTAATTATTTACATTGTTGTAATTTACTGTAGGCAATACGATCGGAAATCTTCAACAACATGCTAGACTCAGACGGATGCAAAGCTCCACCAAACGACGCCGTAACATTGCCAGAGTTGAACCATGAAGAACTTGAGTCTCTCTTGGAGTTCCTGTACAATGGGGACTTGCATGAAGAAAAGATGAACAAGCATGTCTACTCCTTGTTCCTTGCAGCAGATAAATACGGAATCTCATACCTACAGAAGCTTTGTGAGAGCCATATGCTCAAGTCTCTGAGCACAGCCAATGCTCTTGATGTTTTAGAGGTTGCAGATGTTTGTTCGTGCCTGACTTTGAAGGAGAATGCCTTGGACTTCATTGTCAAAAACATGCACGACATAGTTTTCTCAGCTAAGTATGATGCATTTGCTCTTAAGAATCCTCATCTTTGTGTACAGATTTCAAGGGCATCATTGATGGATGCCAAAAGAAATTCAGTTTCTTAGCTAGTAAGGGAATTATTTATATGATGTTGTAATTAGACAAAATTTGCAAAACTACCACACAATCAATTGTTAAAAAGTGCTTATGGTTATAAAAGTACTTGGAATCACTTAGATTTCTAATAAAAAAATTCAACCTTCTTCTAATATAAAATGCTTATGAACCGACGAGTTTTTACAAAATCACTCCCATACAAACCCTAAATAACTACCGATTAAGCAGAGCCCATGTAACAAGGGTTTGCTCAGGCTCACTTGAGTTGTTTATGGCATTGGCAGGTTCACACACCATTGGCCTGGCAAGATGCACATCATTCCGGTCACGCATCTACAATGAGTCCACCATCGACGCCGCCTTTGCCAAGTCATTGCAGGGCAGTTGTACTTGTATATATATATATATATATATATATATATGGGGCGGATCCGTGGCACCACAAATTTGACACAAGTTTTGACACAATTTTATAGCCTTTAGATGCAAGCACTTTCAAGGGCTAAGATTAAATGTGATTTTATTATTTATTTATTTTATTTTGATAACATAACAAATAAAATAAAATATTAAACTCACCACTTTTCAAGGTAGCATAAATGTAGGCTAAAATCTCTCCATCTCCTCCAATCTCATTTATTCTCACGTTTTGAGTTTGAACTTTTTTTATTTAATTGTTTTTCCTTTATCTGGAAACAAAGTTCTCATCTCAGTTGATCTCCAAACACACAAGGATCTATTTCAGATTTTTCCACTCCAACACTTCATGCAATTTTCGCGAAATATTATGGAGATTGTTTGAAAATCTTAATTGTTAATTGTGCTAAGAAGCTATGGATACTTTTTGCTGCAGTTAGATGCTAAACTGTTTGAGAATGAACTTGAACTTCTCATGGTAAAAGACATTAAGAAATCCACAAATGGAAGAGGAAAAAGAAATTCGAATTGAAAGTAATCCAAGGATTTAGAGACTCAAAGCTCAAGAAAATAACAAAAGAACCAACATACAAGACTGCAAGATAAACCTCTCCAAATTTTGTTGCAAGATAGAAAGAGACTGTAGTTGAACCAAACCCCAAACGAATAAAAAAAAAGATCAGAAAAAAAAATTTCATACTCAAAGAATTAGATCATACCATTTATTTATTTATTATATTGATTGAAATCTTAGGGGGAAAAAATTAATGGCTAACATGTGAAATATGGGAGGGAGAAGAGCTACTTCTTGTTTAGTGTTGGTAGTGATAGAGAAACTGTCAAGTGCAGAAGGAAGATTTGGAAGAAGAAGAAAAAACAGAAGTGAAGGCATAAAGAAGAAGATGACGTGAGAGAATATGTTAATGCTTTTAGGAAGTTGGGAAAACATAAATGAAGAGAGATAAAATATTATAGTAAGTTAATTAAAATTAATTTAAACAAATAATTATTTAAAGAAAAAGAATTAATTTGTATAATCTTAACCATTCATTGTAGCCTAATTTAATGGTTAAAAAATTGTGTCAAAACTTGTGTCAAATTTACGGTGCCACGGATCCGCCCCATATATTATATATATATATATATTTCTAAATGATATGACTAGTATTTGCATGTTAAAATTGATCGAAAAACAATGACAACTTCAATCAAATCAGTGCGCATGCATGTGTGATAATTTTACGTTCAATATGTAAGTGATAGAGCAAAAAGCCAATAACTTACCGGTAAGTTATAGCGTGAAAAGCCAATATTTAACCATCATGTAAGTGATGGAGTGAAAAGCCTATAACTTACCGGTAAGTTATGGCGTGAAAAGCCAATATTTAATCGTCAGGTAAATGATTGAGCGAAAAGCCTATAACTTACCGGTAAGTTATTGCGTGAAAAGCCGATATTTAATCGACATGTAAATGATGCAGTGAAAAGACTACAACTTTTTTTTTCCCTTGTTCTTTCAGTTTATTTTTCAAAAACAATGCCTTATAAATAGAGTTTTTTTTCCCGAGGAAATTAATGTTTTAGAATTTGTAAAGTTTCTTTTCTGGGTGACTGATTTAAATCAAATACGAATATAAAAACAACGACTGTTTTTTGTTATACCGTCGTTTTTTCTTGTCGTCTTAAGTAAGACTAAGACGACGTAATGTATTTGTTAACCGACGTGGATTATTTTTTTAAACGTCGTTATGTGTAATATAACCAACGTGGATTTGGTTTTTTAATTATAAATAGGGTTTTTTTCCACGGTTGCTTTCAGTTTTAGTTTTCGATTAGGGTTTCAACTTCTTCTTGCCCCTTTCTCTGTCTCACCTCATCTCTTAGGAGGCAATTGTTTGAATGTTGGTTTGTGTGATTCACAAACATACACACATCACCAATTTTCAAAAAATTGTCTCTCTGATTGCAAATCTGTGGCTGCCGTCGTGAAGTTTTAGGAGGCAATTGTTTGGATGTTGATGTGTGTGTGCCTTTGTGTAGATACACAAACGCACACACATCATCCACTTCCAAAAAATTGTCTCTCTGATTGCAAATCTGAGGCTGCCGTCATCAAATTTCAGAAGCAATTTTTTGGATGTTAATGTGTATGTGCGTTTGTGTATCTCAAAGACACAAATACACATACATCATTAACCTCTAAAATATTGTCTTTCTGGTAAGATTATGATGAGCAACAGAGTTCCATCTTGTAAGATTTCCTAACCCTTGTGATCTCAGAAAAATCTGATTATGTCGGCGGTTTTCTATATAAACCGTCGTGGTTATTTCAATTCTTGTCGTTAAGTAGATCTACCGACGTAGGATAACAAAATCCAAGAAATAAATTGTTAAAAAAAATTCTTATTCAGACGACAGTTTAAATATAATGTATGACGTATAAAGTTGACAAATACGACGTTAAATTGTATAATATGTCGTTAAATTAAAACCCCAACTTGGCAAGATTCAAAGATATCATCGTAGAAATACGAGAAAGACGTCGTTATATTTATCTTGGCCGTAGTTGTACATTAATTTAATACGGCGGTATTTTGTATTTTACCGCCATAGATTTATTTGTAATTATACGGCGCCTTATACGAAAACTTGGTCGTGTTAATTTCTGGGTAAAAACGGCGGCTTTTTTTGAAATCGTCCTCTTTACTTTCTACGTCGGTCGGTTCATAACTTCTGCCGTTATTTGTTGGCTATGATTTTACCCCTTGGAAATCCTATTTCAATAAGACGTCGGTTTTTTAATTAGGTACGTCGTGTTTTAGGAACAGCCATTTGAATCTCCATTTTTTAGTTGTCTAAGGTGTTATTACACGGCGGTTTTATAAAACCGTCGTCTTTTATAAAACAACGACGGTTTTCACTTAGACCGTCGTTTTTTTCTGGTCGTCTTTGTCACTTTTTGTAGTAGTGCAAATTCTTAACTATCACAAATACACAATAGAATTGGTGAAAAGAAATGTGAAGTCAAAATTATTAAAATTGAAGAATATAATTTGGAAATTAAAAGATAAAAACTAGAAATTAATTTTATGATGGTTTTCATCATTAACAGAATTTAACAAGACATCAATAAAATAATGAAGGCTAAAATACGTATAAGTACCCAATCTTTGGAGGTCGTTACAAAATCAAGTACCTAATCTTTTAAAATTTTCAAGTGCATACATGTACTCTTGGAAAACCTACAAATAAATCATGTCATTAGTCAAACTATTAATAGCTCCATTAAATGATGATGTGGTAACATTGTGTCCCTTTTTTTGCTGATGTAGATCCTAGGTAAACTAAAAAAATTGAAGAAAAAAAAACTTGTTTAATTTTTAAATTAGTTAGAAAACTCAAAAATTAAGAAAAATCAACTTTAACACCCAAAAAAATCACCTCCATCGACACCCAACTCCACTTTCTTCATCCATCATCGATCCCAACTGCACCTTCTTCTTCCATCATCACCGCTCATGACCTCATCTCCAAGCCCACCCATTAATCCTGACATCATCCTCATCCCAAATCCATCATCAATCCTACCCCCACCTCGAAACTCAGCTGCACCGCCCAACCTCCCCCATCCCTAGAACCATCTAACCCCTTCATCCTCCAGTGAATCCACTGTCACCTTCATATCACCCAAAAAATCACCCCCATGCCTCACGCATGCCTCACTTTTTTTCTGGCGGGGAGGAAAGGAAGAGATGGGAAGAAAGAGAAAAAGACAAGGAGAGAGAAAGAGACATGAAGATAGTGGATTCGCAGGGGTTAGTGGGATGGTTCGAGGGTCGGTTGGGTTGATGACTGGTGTAGGGAGGTTTGGGATTATGGGGCGTGGAGGAGGTTTCAATGGGGTTGGGTATAGTTGGGTTTGTATTTTCTTTTTGGGTTAATGACATTTTAATACCCTATGGTTACACCCATAATACATGTTAGTCTCTATGTTTTCAATTTTTACAATTACATACCCCGATCTTTTAAATTTGTTACAATGTGGTTCCACCGTTGGGGGTTCCGTCAGATCTCTCTGTTAGTTTCCTATGTGGCATTATGGTTTTTTTTTAAATTTTTAAATTTTTAAATGATTAAAATATTTAAAAAAAAATTAAAAATACATCTCTCTCTCTCTCTCTCTCTCTCTCTCTCTCCCTCTCCCCCCCTGATTTCTTCCCTCCTTAGATTTCTTTTCCCCTATCCTGTTCTTTCCTCCACTCAGATTTCTTCTCCCCTTACCCAGATTTCTTCCCCTACACTGATTTCTTCCCCCATATGGATTTCTTCTCCCTCCTCCTGATTTCTTCCCCTACCCAAATTTCTTTTCCTACCCAAATTTCTTCTCTGTTTTAAGAAATCAATGACAGTTTTATAATTTAAAAGAAGTTAAAAGCTTTTTTGTTATATTGTAAATAGGCTTTGGGTGTGTTTCTAAAGTCCATTTCATATATGGTTTTTTTATTTTTCATGATTTTGATATGAATTTATAATTTATAATCTATACATATAAAGTAAAAGGCAGAGAATGGTCAAACATTCAAAATACCAAAAAATGCCCTTAGTTAATCCAAATATTAAGAATTAAAATTATTAATTAAATGAGGATAATATGGTAAATTTACATTTTTTCATATTAAAAAATTAAAATTAAAAGAATAACCAAATAATGAATTCTATTTTTATGAAATACAACTATCTATTATCTTTTTTAATTCTAAAATAAATTTAGAATTTATTTTAAAAAAAAGCCTCTCGCAGGCGCGGAAGCGCATGCGGAGAGGCTATACTAAATAATTTATTAAAAAAAGCATATGCATTTGCATAGGGCCCGATTACTCCTCTAGGCGTTAGGCCCTTGCCTTCCGCCCCCTTATTGCATAGTGATTTTTGAACATCGGGATTAACATGTTGGTAAATCGAGGTGCACAAGCACTTCAATTTACAACCCTGCAATTTTAATTGACTCCAATTCCCTTCTATTTGTGTTCATAATTAACTAAAAATTAGTTGCATTGCATGGTGTTTAGATTTAACTTTTCTAGTATAATTTTTCCCAAGGCTATAAACAAAGAAGCAATTTCGTCAGTTCTCAATTGATTGTGCAGTGGCTATATGTCTCCGGAGTATGCTATGGGCGGGATGTTTTCTGAAAAATTTGATGGCTATAGCTTCGGGGTCTTGCAATTGGAGATTATTAGTGGCAAAAAGAATACCAGCTTCTATTCTAGTGACCAACATATAGGCTTCCTAGCTTATGTAAGCTCACACTCTAAATCTTAATGCAAAATCGTATCTTTCATACTACTTAACAACCTATATGAAGCTAAATGCAGCATAGTTTAACAATTATGTCCAACATACATGAAATTTTGTCAGGCATGGCACTCATGGAATGAAGGCAGGGGTTTGGAGTTGGTTGATGAAGCATTGGCAGATTCATATTCACCTTCAGAATCTCTTGAAACCCAAAGGCATTGCATATGCATAGGTCAAAAGCACTTGGAATTGCATGCAATTATATTGGATTTTTGCCTCAGTTTAGGTGCACATCGATGGTGATGATGATGGCGATGTCAGTGGTGATGGTGGTTTGTGAGTGATAGTGGGGGAAGTGGGGAGTGGTGGTGGCATAGGAGTGAGGTGGTGGTGGTGGTGAGGTGGGAGTGGTGGCAATGTCGGTTGGGGTGATGGTGGGGCTGATAGTGGGGGTGGTAGTGGTGGTGGCGGTAAGGGTTAGGGTGGTGACAATAGCAGTGATATTGATGGTGTTAGCAGTGGTGGTGGTGACGATGGGGGGTGATGGTGAGGCTGGTAGTGGGGGTGGCAGTGGGTGGTGGTGCAGGCAGTTGTGGTGCTGAGGTGGCAGTGATGGCAGTGGTGGTGGCGGCGATGACGATGACTGTGGTGGTGGTGGTTGCGGCAGCAGCAATGGTGATGTTCCTCTGTCTAGGTTTAATCTCAAAATTGTAGGGGCATGAATATATGGAGGAGAGCGCATGTCCTGCAAACATTTGATGAAGGAGCAAATTCATTACATTGCCAAGGAGTGCGCATGTCCTGCAACAATGTAGGAGGCTTGTGACTCAAATTGGCGTGGATTTGGCACGTGTGGCATTTCTTAACAAAATCATATGCATCCCTTTTCATAGTAGGCCAATAATATTCAAAACTCAACAGCTGCCGGTGGAGCCTTTTCATTCCTTGATGCTCTCCGCATTCTCCAGCGTGTATCTCTTCCATGACTTGATGTGACTCCGTCTTTCCTAAGCATCGTAGAGGTTCCCCATTAAATCCCTTTAGATAAAGAGTCGATCCATCCACAAAATATCTCTTTACCGTCTTCTTAAGCTTATAGGCGAGCTTGGAATTGCTTGGCAGAGTTCCTTAAAAAAAAAATGCCAAATACAGGGCCCTCCAATCTTCTGCGAGTGAAATGGTGAAAGATTCCTCGGTAGTAGGTATTGTAAAACATTTGGGACAACTAGCCTGAACTTCAGCCGCTTGTTTCCTCATTTCTAGCCAAAAATAACCTTTACGCTGCAGGCGCCGATACAAGCTGATTACTGGTTCCAAACTGCAAGTAGCATCGTGCACTTCTTGCAGCCGCCTTCTCACTTCATTATTCCTATGCATCGAGTCAAAACGCCTCCTGGAAGACGCCTGTAGAGTTCCCAAAGATAATCACGTAAGTGTTGTTCCCCAAAGATACTACTTAATTACATATAATAAATTGAAGAAAAACAATGGCAAAGATATAATGGGGGCGGATCCGTGACACCATATTTTTGACACAAGTTTTGACATAATTTTTGGGCCATTAGATTACTCCACTTTTAATGGTTGAGATTAAATATGACATGGCAAAATAATATTTTTCTCTTTAATTAATATTTATACATTGGGATTAAAATCCTGATACCATATTAATTAAGAATTCATTCTCTCTCTTCTCATTAATTATCTTTAATTAATTAATTAATTCTCTCTCTTTCTTCTACAGAGAATTGACGCCTCTCTCTCTCTCTCTCTCTCTCTCTCTCTCTCTCTCTCTCGTCCCCAAACCAGCTTCTTAATTAATATTTGCATTGTGGTTTCATATCATTTCATTTTCCTCCCAAATTTCTTCCTTTCACTTTTATTTTAATTTCTAAGAGGTGGAAGAACTAACTGTCATCAGAGAATTTATTCAATGAAATACTTCATTGATCAAAGCTATAGACAAACCTTACTAGTTTCATATCATTTTCATTTGCCGATTCAATCAAAGGAAAGAGAGAGAGGCGTGAGAAGTGGGATTGTGGTTTGGGTATTTAGTTTTTGGTGAGATTGTTTATTTATTAGACCCTAATAAATATTTGAGATTAAAGAGGCAGGAGAGATTACGTCTTCTAGCAAAAAGGTTGGAGAGAGAAAAATTTCCTTTTATTTTTATGAGAGAGAAAATAAAATTAATGATTGTCTATTTAAAAAATTAAAACTACTTGCCATATAATATTTAATCTCAACCATTGAAAGTGGAGTAATTTAATGGCCCAAAAATTGTGTCAAAACTTATGTCAAAAACGTAGTGCCACGGATCCGCCCCTATATATATATATATATGGATATTATTTGTATAATATTTATTTGTTACTTGTTACTTATTAGCGATTTCATAATGGAAAATCTATTTAATGTTTTATTTTCCGAGGCCCAATTCTAAACAAAATAATATATCTAAATAGGGCATTTGGTTTTATTGGTTTTTTAATACGAGGCCCAATTGAAAGCCCATCACTCCTTCTGTTTTTCCCATCAACAGAAGCCGAGGCCCAAGTCTAACATGAGTCGTCTACAGCCCCTCCCTGCGACCTCTCATCTTCTTCAATCCTCATCTCGCCACCCCAAAATCTGAGCCACCATCATCATCTCGTCCTTGACCTTGGAGATTACAAAATGGCGTTTTTTTTTCTGGGTCCGAATCGCCCAGACCGCCTAGCCAGCCTAGGCGGCCGCCTAGCGCCTAGTCGCCGCCTAGGCCGATTTTTCGAACACTGCCTGATCATCAGAAACCTCTGCAGAAAATAGTATATTCTTATAGCTTCCTGATGCTAATTCCTTGCCTAAACTCCTTGAAAAACTTCCTCATAGGAAATCAGGCCCGCCCACCCGAAAGCCATTGTTCATGAATAATTTCTGCATTTATTTGCTTGCACTAGTCTAGGGAGGAAAAACATGTGGTGCATTTCTTTCTTGACCGAGAAAAGCAACTAAAACATTAGAAATAAGCAAACTGACGTTGAACCCAATCTATTTCATTCAGTTTCTGCCAGTGCCAACCAAGCAGGCAATTCTCTCAAGAAAAAAAACATGCGTTCATGGCAGAACCAGTTACAGTGCGCAATAACTTGCCAATGTCATCAGAGGGAGGCCCTACAACAACATACTAAAATGATGAATTCCCTACCCTCCATAACAAAATCACCATCCGAAAAAGACAACTTGCAGACAAGTATACTATCTTCCTGGACAATCATTATTGAAGATGCAGAGCTTGAAAATCTTGTTAGATACCCTGCACTGCATGCATGGCCCGTATACTAGGCCGACTGCCGTTAAACGCAGACCTAAGCACGCAGACTTTGCTGTTTGTGGACTGGACTGCCCCTCCACAACTAAATTGACCAACTTGAAACGACAGGACCAAAGTGTTAAAAGTGGAAAGTGAGTTTAAGCATACGCTACCATTCGTCTTCCCGAGCCACCACCATCACCTGCGCCTTCACCTCTCTCGCTCTCTCATGGCTACCGCTACTTCAGCTAAGCGAGTCGGCACTCATAATGGCAGCTTCCACTGCGACAGAGCCCTCGGCTGCAGGGTCTACAAGTTAGTTAAGTAGCATCCTAGTTCCTTCAGGTTCTGATTGATAGATTGGTTCGAGTCACTGTGATATATTGGTATCTTAATTTAGTGTTTTAAAAAGCTTTCCCCTTTGTGTGTTCTGTACACTACACACAAATGCATGAATTTGCTTTTGTAATTTTTCTGACCCGGTGGTATTTGTGAATTGTGGCACTGTCGTGTGTGCTGGGGGTCTTATTCACACTATTTGGGCTGCCTGTATTAGCCTAGGCACTGGAGCAGATCAAGTTAATCTTTCCTTACAAAGGGCACACCTCTGGCAAAGTTGGAGAGGAAACATTTTTCCAAAGGTTCGGGAGGAGGTTCAGAACAACAGGTTGTGAGATCAATTTAAAAGAGATTGCTTTATTGGAGGGCAAAGTGAACAAACTATGCTGCTTACTGAAGGAAGCTGTTGAAAGAACGAAAGACAACATTGTGAAGAAACAGGCTTTGACATATGAAGAAATCAAAGCAGAACCTGAAGAGCAGGAAGAAATTGAAACCGAAAGTCATGACGAGGAGAACGAGCAGCAGATTCACAACCCACTCAAATTGCCACTGGGTCCGGATGGGAAGATAATATATTACTGGATGTATAAGCTTCATGGTCTCGGTCAGGAATTCAAGTGTGAGATATGTGGGGATTCCAGTTACTTTGGGCGCAGAGCTTTTGAGATACATTTAATGGAGAGTGCCATAAGCGCGGGATGCGTTGCCTTGGCATACCAAAGACCAAGAGCTTCAATGAGATCACATCAATTGAGGAAGCAAAAGAGCTGTGGAAGAGGATACAAGAACGGCAAGGCGAGAACTTGTGGTGCCCGGATCTTGGAGAAGAGTATGAAGATGAAGAGGGTAACATTTACAATAAGAAGACATACAATGATCTAAAGCGACAGGGGCTGCTTTAAGTTTAAATGATTTGTAATTAGTCTTTAGCAAATTATGGGTATGAGATGACTAGTAGCAGATTTTTCTAAATCTTATGGTTAATGTGTACGGGATTTCTTGCCTCCCATTTGGCTGCTTCCAACACTGGAAACTGATGTTAACGCTTCTTTAGAGGAATAAATTTTTTTATCGTTTATTGGCTTTAAAAAAAACTAAGCGTAACTCAGATTTCATAACAAAGAGTGATTCATAATTCCGCGTATTACAAAATCTATGACAAAATAGTCTTCTGGGTTCTCTCTGGTCTCTCTAAGTTGTCTTTGTATACCTTATACTCTTTCTCAGTACTTTGTTTCATTCACTTGCTCAATCTTCCCATCTTCTTCTTCTTCTCAAGCTCTCTCTATACATAGAGAGACAAAGCATTACAACTAACATGGACTTACATCGATGTACTTGGCGAGCGGTGGAAGTTAGTGACAGCAGAATTAGTCAATTGCACACTATATTGTGACTATACGGAGAATACTAAATGGTTTAGGCTGCCTTGCTTATATCCTATACGATGCACTACGTAGCTCAGGTCTTCCATTTTTACTCTAATCTACTGAATCGACCTCCTCTTCTGGCAGTTCAAATGCATCAATCTCGGCAAAGTACGCTCTCTGCTTTTCAATGAAATCTTGTGGCAAGGCATGCATGGAAACATCTTTCCCAGCTGGTACCGCACACTGCTTCTGCAGAAGTATTACGCACAAATTAAAAGTGAATAACTACAAACCCAGACTTTATTGTACAGTGGGATTTGTTGTCCCTTTAGGAAAAAAACATGAACTCAGCTGTTTGAACAAACAAACAAACTCCTAGAACAAACTTCGGTCCAGTATAACTGTAACAATGTTTAAACAAGTGAAAAAGAATACACAGACTAAGTATATAGCCCAAACAACTCAACCTCACATTTGAGAAATAAGCAATCCTTCCATAGACACACTCTACCCTGTTGTTTGAAATTCTTGGGGCCTTTGGGGTATATACAAGTTCTCCTTAAGAAAGCACAGTATATAGTTTTGGACTGATATGAAGGCATAACATTTTTATAAAAGATAAACACTGGCCAATTGATTGTAGAAACCAGGCCCCAAGCCAGATATAAAGTAGCAGTTTCTACCCAAAACAACAGAAAAGTCACTAATATTAACTTTAACAAACCCTTTTTGCGAGGAGCCGTGGATTCCTTTGATAGACTGTTATGTCCGTCTTCCTTCAATTTACCCCTGTTTCAAATGGCAGGAACACGTACAACAGAATTAGTAAAACTTCACACGATATCCCAATACCCCGATTTCTTCCCCCCTTCCTTCATCCCGATTTCTAGCCCTAGAGAAGAAATTTCATGTTGTTAAGTTACAGCGTCGTAGCAAATTGTCAAGCTGCCTGAAGAATACCTTCCTTCTCAACACTCCCATAGGAGAAGAAAGAAGAAAGAGAATATATTTTGTAACCGAAAGAACAAAGAGAAAAGAAAGAGAAATTCCATCAAGCATGTTATCTATGTATACACATCATGGATTCACATCTTATTCAAGAATTGCATAATTGAATACCATAAACCTATTAAGGAGTAGATACTTTCTCTTCTTTTCCAATGTGGGACTCAAGTTCATCTATTAAAATCAAACTCCAACAAGTAATTGATATTATCAAATCACGTTGTGACTTGGATTTAAGTTTCGAGGCTAAAATCCATTTTTGGGATACTAAAATATTGGGTACTCAAACTAAATTTCTAGGATTTTATTAAAATATTCAATACTAATTATTCACTAAAGAAATAATAACTAAAAGATAATTACTAATGAAAGTATTTAAATAAGGCTAAGATATTATTTAATTAATAAAAAAATAAGTTTAAAACTGATATTTTAAGGGTATAGCCGGGCGGCTGTACTCTATAAATAGAATATGTTAACACTCTAGCCGTGGGCTATACTCTATAAATAGAATTTTAACAGCACAGCCTTGCAGAATAGAGCTTACACAGCCGATCGGCTAGACTTTATAAAATAGAATATTTTAAAAGTATAGCCGCCGGCCGTACCCGTTAAATAGCATAATCTTAAGGGAGCTTTAGTAATATACCCCAAATAGGACTTGAAATTATATATAAAAAAAACCCTATATAAAATACACTTCAGAAACACACCCAAAAACCATTTACTATCTAAAAAATGAGTGTTGAAGTTCCTATAAATTATATATCTGTTATTGATTAACTTAAAACAAGCCTAATACAAAAAAACTAAAAAAAAAATCCAAAATAAGCCCAACAAGTCCAACTTAGATTTGACCACCCAAAAAAAAAGGCCGAGCAAACCCGAAGTACATTGTTAATACCATGTCATAGAAGTACATTATTAATATCATGTCATAAAAATACATTGTTAATATCATTTCATAGAAAAACATTGTTAATACCATTTCATACAAAAAACTCAAGCAAGACATCCAATATCCTTTGCAAAAACCACCTCCAATTGTCTATAATTTCACCAGAAACAATCGCAAAGGCAAAAGGAAATACCTCTACAAGAAAAAAAAATACACTGTTAATACTATGTCATAGAACTATCTTCCTAGTAAAAATCACATTATGCATATCATAAATTTCAAGTGCACAGCTATATATAGAGCAAAATATATAGCATGCTTTGTTACGAAATCAACTCAGTTGTAGGGTATGAATAGTATAACAAATGTTCATATTACTTACTGGAAGCTAACAACATCATTTCATTCCTGCCACCATTAGAATCAGCATATTTGTGAGGAGAGAGAGCCGCCGGACAAGACTTCAGAGTAGGGATCTAGCAGCATATGAAGCTTGATTCAGATACATCATCATTTTGGCGCCGGGGGGTGGGGTGGGGGGCGCGGGGGTGTGGTTCAGGATAAGAAGCAAGTTTCTCATCCCCTGCATAGGAGGGGTTAGTTTTGGTTGCTTAAATTTTGGAAATATGTAGTCATAGCTTGGTTGGTTGGTTCCTCTGTCTCCAAAGCCAAAGCCTTGAGTGCGACAAAATCCAAATTACCAGTCTTTCTCATAAACAAATTACCATTGTAGATCAATCACGGATTCCTAACATAGAAAATAAGAAACTCATAAAAACAAAGCCTAACCAAAATTACCAAAAGCAAAACCAGCAAAATGAAGAGGAACCACAGAGTGATCAAAAGAATAGAAGCCAAATTTAACCCAAATGTCAAAATCTTCTTCTTCTTCTTTTCCGGATCATCAGAAGTATGTAGTGAACATGTTAACACAGGAAATTAATATCAAATTCCATTCCATTCCATCACAAAGAAGAATAGTAACATAATTAAATAAAATGAAAGCAACAGGGGAGCTTCGTGAAGTGTACCTGAAAGGTGTGGTCTGGGAATGAATTGTGAAGCAAAAACAGATGGATAGAAGAGAAGAGAAACTGAGGCAAAGTCCTCCACCTCCTTGTGCTCCCTCCAGAACTGGAGACAACTGCCGGAGTCGCCGGAAACGGCGTCGGAAAACTCGAAATCTAGAGACCTTTCCGAGCTCGCAGCGGCGTCGTGAGTGGTTGAGGTGGCTGTGATTTAGCCCAGACATGATCACCGGCCCTGGCCCGTCCTTTTCCGATCGGTCTCATGGTTGGCCGTGGCTGGAGCACCAAGATCGCCGGCTAACCTGGTTTCCGCGAAGGGAGAGAGACGAGAGAGAGAGCCCCAGAATTTTTCAAAAAAACTAATTTAATACTAAAAGGGTAATAAAAGTATTTCATTTAACTAATTAAACTAAAAAATTTAACAGCTGTGAGTTTTGAGTTTTTTTTGGGTGTGTTTATATACATTGAATGATGTAGGGTTTCTTTATAAAACTATGTCTAGGAATGGATATTTAACTAATTTTCTATAATCTTAATTTCTCTTTTTCAATTACTTTATTTAGTAGTTATGTTTTAATTACTATTTACTTAGTGATAATTAGTATTTAAATATTTTATTAAATAATAATTACCATTTTTTAAATAATATAATTTATGAAGTTAATTAAAATATTTAATTATTCGCTAAATAAATAACAATTAAGACATAATTACATATGAAAGTAATTAAATAAGGCTAAGATATTATTTAATTACTAAAAATAAAATTATTGGACCTAAAGATACTAAGTATATATATATATTTAAAAAAACACTCCCGACAAACTTTCGTCGTGTAACACCCCGACTCCAAATTTATCCCCTGTTTTAATTAATTTGAGTGAAATTAAGAAATTACCCGTGGGCTAGGGGTATTTTAGTCATTTTCTTATCCGGAAGGAATTTGGGAATTCCGGTTGTACCGTTGCGTAGAGCACGGCGAGATGAGTTCGTAGACACGTAGTGGGCTCGAATCGGAGTTGTAACGAGAGAGATATGATCAAAAGAAGCTCAGTGGCATAATCGTAAATATTTGGAAAATGGGATTTTTGGTTAAAAGACGGAATTGCCCCCGTCTCTCACACACTCTCTCTCTCCCGCGCGTCCTCTCTCTCTCCTCTGGTTCGCGACCGTCACCACAGCCGGCCACGTTTTGGCCGGCCGTTCGCTCGTCCGGCCACCAAAGTCGACGGGGCCGGTACCAAAATGACCGGGCCGCCGTCCTCTTCCTACCCCGGCCAGGTCCCGCCGCCAGCCGCCGTGATTTCGCCGGAAAACGAGGAGAAAAGCTCCGGTTTTGACAGAAACTTCGCCGGCTTCGTTCTCCGTCGTCCGGCCACCGATTCCGGCAAGTGAGGTATGGTTTCTCACCTATTTTCCGAGCTCTAGCTGCCTGTTGGGTAGGAATTGATCGATTTGTAGCGTAGGCAACTCGATTTTACGAATTGGGTTTCGGCCGGATTTCGGGATGAGATTCCGGCCACTTCCGGTCAGATTTTGGGGTACGTCCAAGAACAAAAGTGACTCCAAATTAGGTGTTTTACCTAGGGTAGGAGTCTGGGCTCACGATTTGGAAGTTTTTCCGGCGATGGGTATCGCTTTGGACACCCACGCGCTGCCGGCGCGTGTGGCGGCGCGTGGGCACTGTAGCGAGGGGCATTTTTGTCCCAATGTGATCCTCAGGTTGTCATGAGCGCGTAGGTGTGCTCGGATCTCATTTTGGGTATCGTTAGAGTCCCGAACGGATATCGCATATCGCGTATTTTCCGGGTTCGCTGGGTTTGGACCGTTGGATGGTCCTGATATTATAATATGTTGATCTAGGTATTACCAGGATCGTGTAGGATTCGACGGATCGTAAAACGGAGTCCCGGATACTCCGGAAATGCCAACCCTGGGGTTAGGGTTTTAGTAACCGTCCGATCGTGCGATCGTGAGCGATCCGACCGTCCGATCTGGACCAAACTTGCAGGACGTGTGTCCTAGACCTTGTAGAACCTATAGGAACTTTCGGATCGGAATTTGGAGGTTGTGGGCCCCGCAGGCCCGTTTGACCCTAGGTTGACCGTGAGACTTCCGAGATAGTCTTGCCTTTCTTTGAGGGTTAAAATGACCGTGGTGACAGGTCCTGATGTCATGGGGATTATGGGGGATTATCGGATGCTAGGTGTTTGTATGATTAGAAATTAGATGTTATATTTAATTGATTGTGTGGAGGTATAATGATATATAAGGAGATTGAATATTAGTTTACAGTGCTATACGCACTACCCCACGTACCCCACATATTGTGATTATGCTCAGGCCCAAGAGGTCGCACGCGTCTTTGGGTTAGCCGGCGTGTTGACAGCCCCGTACGTGGCCGGGTACGTCCCGACGTATGAGTGGGTGATATGATGGTATAAGGGCTGGTGAGAATGTAGCCAGGCCCAGTGTGAGGTCGCACGCGTCTTTGGGTTAGCCGGCGTGTTGACAGGCCCCGTACGTGGCCGGGTACGTCCCGACGTATGAGTGGGTGATATGATGGTATAAGGGCTGGTGAGAATGTAGCCAGGCCCAGTGTGAGGTCGCACGCGTCTTTGGGTTAGCCGGCGTGTTGACAGGCCCCGTACGTGGCCGGGTCGTCCCGACGTATGAGTGGGTGATATGATGGTAAAGGGCTGGTGAGAATGTAGCCAGGCCCAGTGTGAGGCGCACGCGGTCTTTGGGTTAGCCGGAGTGTTGACAGGGCCCCGTACGTGGCCGGGTAGTCCCGACGTATGAGTGGGTGATATGATGGTATAAGGGCTGGGAGAATGTAGCCCAGGCCCTGTGAGGTCGCTCACGCGTCTTTGGGTTAGCCGGCGTGTTGACAGGCCCCGTACGTGGCGGGTACGTCCCACGTATGAGTGGGTGATATGATGGTATAAGGGCTGGTAGAATTAGCCAGGCCCAGTGTGAGGTCGCACCGTCTTTGGGTTAGCCGGCGTGTTGAAGGCCCCGACGTGGCCGGGTACGTCCCGACGTATGGGGTGATATGAGTGTATAAAGGGCTGGTGAGAATGTAGCCAGGCCCAGTGTGAGGTCGCACGCGTCTTTGGGTTGAGCCGGAGTGTTGACACCCCGTACGTGGCCGGGTACGTCCCGACGTATAGGGGTGATATGATGGTATGAGGGCTGGTGAGAATGGTAGCCAGGCCCCAGTGGAGGGTCGCACGCGTCTTTGGGTTAGCTGGCGTGTTGACAGACCCCGTACGTGGCCGGGTGCGTCCCGACGTATGAGTGGGAGTATGATGGTATGATGGGGGTGAGAATGTAGCCAGGCCCAGTGTGATGTCGCACCGTCCTTTGGGTTAGCCGGCCGGTTGACAGACCCCGTACTGGCCGGGTTGCGTCCCGACGTATGATGGGAGTTATGGTTATGTGAGGGCTGGTGAGAATGTCCAGGCCCAGTGTGAGGTCGCACCCCGTCTTTGGGTTCCGGCGTGTTGAAGGCCCCGTAGTGGCCGGGTACGTCCCGACGTATGAGTGGGTGATATGATGGTATAAGGGCTGGTGAGAATGTAGCCGGCCCAGTGTGAGGTCGCACGCGTCTTTGGGTTAGCCGGCGTGTTGACAGGCCCCGTACGTGGCCGGGTGCGTCCCGACGTATGAGTGGGTGATATGATGGTATAAGGCTGGTGAGAATGTAGCCAGGCCCAGTGTGAGGTCGCACGCGTCTTTGGGTTAGCCGGCGTGTTGACAGACCCCGTACGTGGCCGGGTGCGTCCCGACGTATGAGTGGGAGTTATGGTTATGTGAGGGCTGGTGAGAATGTAGCCAGGCCCAGTGTGAGGTCGCACGCGTCTTTGGGTTAGCCGGCGTGTTGACAGGCCCCGTACGTGGCCGGGTACGTCCCGACGTATGAGTGGGTGATATGATGGTATAAGGGCTGGTGAGAATGTAGCCAGGCCCAGTGTGAGGTCGCACGCGTCTTTGGGTTAGCCGGCGTGTTGACAGACCCCGTACGTGGCCGGGTGCGTCCCGACGTATGAGTGGGAGTTATGATTGTGTGAGGGCTGGTGAGAATGTAGCCAGGCCCAGGGTTGAGGTCGCACGCGTCTTTGGATTAGCCGGCGTGTAGACAGACCCCATACGAGGCCGGGCGCGTCCCGTCGTATGAGGGGAGCTATGTGATTATGTTTGGTGTGTTGTGATGGTTTAATTGATATCAGGAGCCAGGATTGATAGGAAAGAGCTACGTGTGGCTTGATCCCTTAGTAGGGTACGTAGGCAGCCTGGGATAGCGCCTAGGTGCAGCCACGACCTAGACACCACTTAGGTGGTTTTATCGAGTATGATGCGGACCTCGTGGTTGGTCCCGAAACTTGGTTGAATTGAGGCTTGTCCGGTGGACTGAGTGAGTGAAGGTGTGTATGGATGGATTTTGAATTGGTTATATGCTTGTCTGATGCAGTAAGTTATTTTGAAAACGTGGTGGGCAGTTTGTTAGAATCATTGAAGGCCGGAGGCCATTTATGTAAATTGCATGAGAGTATATTGTGCGTGCTGCTAGTTGGGTTATAAAATGTGTTTTATGCAGGTGGAAATTTTGGGGAATGTTCAATTTACAGGGGAGACTCTGCCGAAGTTTTGGCAGAAAGTCTCGTGCCCTTAATCCTCTATGGTAAACGAGGACGTAGATTTAAGGAGTAAACCCGGCATGGGTGTGATGCCGGGGTCTCCGCAGGGTTCGTCTCGGGTTCCGGGAAATTCGGGACGGGTCCTGTCACGTCGACACAGGTTTATCCCGGCGAAATGTGCCAAATTAGACCTCTCTCTACGACATTTCGACGACTAAGGTGAGTTTAGTCAGGAGAGGTCTAATCAGCAAATTTTGCTGGGATAGATTTGTCTCGACAAACCTTCGTCGCGAGAGGTTTTATTGCTTTTTTTTAAAAAAAAATTTAATTTTAAATATATAAAATTATTTCCTTTACTTTTATTTTTTGGCCAACTTCTTTAGTTTAATATATGTAATTAAGTAATATCTTAACCTTTTTAATTACTTTAATTGGTAATTATGTTTAATTATTATTTCTTTAGTGAATATTTAAAACTCATTTCATAAATTACTAAATAAATAGTAATTAATTTTTTAAAATTATTTTGTGGACTTTGTTTTTAATTTTTTTAAACACAAAATTAGTTTGGGTAAATCCAAGTCTGGAACCAAAAACCCTAACTTCCGAAATTATTCCAAAACCTTTCTCAAGCCTCGAACCCTAACCATAAGCCTACTAAGGAGTAGATACTTTCTCTTCTTTTCCAATGTATGACTCAAGTTCATGTATTTCAATGAAACTCCAACAAGTAGTTGATATTATCAAATCATGTTGTGACTTGGATTTAAGTTTCGAGACTAAAATCCATTTTTGGAATACTAAAATATTTGGGTACTAAAACTAAATTTCTACGATTTTTACTAAAATATTAAATACTAATTATTCACTAAAGAAATAATAATTAAAATATAATTACTCATAAAAGTATTTAAATAAGGCTAAGATATTATTTAATTAATAAAAATAAAATTTTAAAAATGATATTTTAAGAGTATAGCAGAACGGCTATACTCTAAATAGAATTTTACACTTCGACCAAAAAAAAAGAAAGAATTTTAAACGTAAAGCCGCACAGCTATACACTTTAAATAGAACATTTTAAAAGTACATCCACGTGGCTATATAATTTAAATAGCATAATCTTGATTTCTTTTTTTCAATTACTTTGTTTAGTAGTTTTGTTTTAATTACTATTTACTTAGTGAATAATTAGTATTTAAATATTTGATTAAATAAAAAAATTAAAAATAATCTTTCACATTTATTGCGTAATATAATTTATTAAATTAATTAAAATATTTAATTGTTCGCTAAAGAAATAACAATTAAAACATAATTACATATGAAAGTAATTAAATAAGGCTAAAATAAAAATTTATTGGACCTAAAGATACTAAACTAATATATATATTTTTAAACTCTCTCTCAACAAAACTTCATCGGCATAGGTCTATCCCGACGAAATTTGCCGGATTAGATCTCTCCCGACGACATTTCGTCGGCAGAGGTTAATTTCGTCGAGAAAGGTCTATTCCGGCAAATTTCGCCCAGATAGATCTGTCCCGATGAACCTTCGTCTGGAGAGGTTTTTTATGGACTGGCTTGGGTAAAGGGAATTTAAGTTTTTAGGCATGTGAAATTGTTGGATGCCTTTGTGATTTGTGGTATGTTCTACGTATTTGGTGGGCTTGATCTTCTATGTTTTGTGGATTTATGTGGACAAGTGGGTCACTTAAAATCTTGGAATTCTAGAATTATGTGTTCTAGTTATTCTAAGAAACATGCATAATTAACAACCCAGGGGCTAAGAGAAGCTAAAACACTTGTTGACGACACAAAGAAAAATGAAAACAATACAATAACACCCACCCCCAAATTTCTTCTTCCCCCTAACCCCTGGATTTCTTCTCCTCCCTCCTCCCAGATGTTAATATGAATAAAACTGTGAATTTGTGGGAGGAAGGAGGGGGGAAAGAAATCGGGAGGAAGAAAGGGGAGGGGGTCTAGATGAGACCCATAGTGCTACGTAGGCAACTAACGGAAAGATCTGACTGAAATCTAACGGTGGAATTACATTGTAACAAATTTAAAAGACAGGAGTATGTTATTG